TTTGGTTCCTTCTGCTGTTGTTTTTGAGATTCTGTCAGAAACAGGTCTACACACCTTGCCAGAGAGGCTGTGGGAACAGCCCTGTGCTTCCTTTCAAAACTAGACCCAGGCCGTGCCATGCTTGCCTTGCCTAATTTTCTCCTGGATGAGGAAAGGTGCTGTAGCAACTGAAGGTGATGGACTTGGCTTTTCAACACAGCTTTGGCTTGGAAAGGGAGGACAAGTGCATAGTTAATCATGCCCTCCTCCCAGAAAGTAAACAAACAAGCAAGCAAAGGGGGCAGATCCCAGCGCCAACCCCTGGGAACCAGCACAAGAGCCTTCAGCTCATTCCTTAATGATCTCAGTCCAAGTGACTTCATAGTTGCTGGAAGAGGAAGGAGAAGAAAAAGCTCTTTAACTGGCAAGCATGAGGCTTTGGGTTTGGTCCCCAGTACTGTACAAGTTGGGCATGGTGATGCTTGTGTGTCAAACTAGTACTCAGACATTCAAGGATGTCTGAGGCTATGGAAGGACTTCATGGACAGCTTGGGACACATGAGAACCTGTTTCAAAAATAAGAAAGTTGGCAGAGAAGAGGACAAAGAGACAGCTTCTTGGTAGAAGCAATAGCTGCCCAAGCCCGATGACTCCAGTGTGATCCCCAGAACTGGAACTGGAACCTGGATATTGTAATCAAAGTATTTCTATGGCAAGAGGGGTGGTAGGGGGTGGAGAACCTCTGGAAGCCTCCTCATGCTTGCTCATGAGTGGGCTAGCCTGCAGTATACATCACAGTGGCAGAAACAGATGAAAGGTCCTTTGCCAAAAGTAAGGTGTGTGGGGGGGGGAAGTGGATGTGGTGGCATGTGCCCTAAATCCTAGCACTGGGAATTGGAGCTCAATCCCAGCATTAGAGAGGTAGAAGCAGGCAGCTTTCAGTCAGCTTGACAGCAGTCTGGGCTACATAGCTAGTTCCAGGCCAGTAAGGGCTCCATTGTGAGACTTGTATCAGACAAGAACCCATCAAAAAAGCCAAACCAAACCAAACCAAACCAAACCCAAACCCAAACCCAAACCCAAACCCAAAACCAAAACCAAAACCAAAACCAAAACCAAAATACAGTGAACCAGAGAAACAAAAGCAAGGTGGTGAAAAGCGAGAACCAACGTATGCATGTCCACACGTAAACACAAACATATGGGCACAGATGAATAAAACAAAGCACTGGAAAGATGGCTCAGTGGCTTAGAGCACTTGGTATACAAGCAGGGTTTGACTCCCCAGCATCTACATTAAAAACATCAAGCATAGTGTGCAGTCCTGCAATCCCAGCATTGGGGGAGTGGAGACAAGCAGATCCTGGGAGCTCAACGGCAAGCCAGTCCAGCCAAAATGGTGAGCTTTGTGTTTAGGGAAAGACAATAAGGCTAAGGGGGTCTTCCTCTGCATGATCGTACATGGGCATGTGCTTTTGCTTGCTTATATGCATGAACACCCTTCATACACATTAAAAAGAGAAATAAAATAAAGAGAGACAAGGAGGAGGAAGAGGAGGAGGAGCAGAAGAAATAATCACCCCTTTGTTGCTTGTGTTTTTGCTAGCTGCTTATGGATTGTATCAGTTCATCTCCTCAGTGAGCCTGAGGAAGGAGAGACCCAAGACTGAAAAGAGGCTACAGCAGAGAGGTTCTCAATCTGGGATCATGACCCCCAGGGGAGGGTCGATGACTCTTTCACAGGGGTTATCTAAGACCATGGGAAAACACAGATATTTACATTATGATTCATAACAGTAACAAAATTACAGTTATGAAGTAGCAATAAAAATGATTTTATGGTATGGGTTCACAGTAACGTGAGGCTCTGTAGTAAAGGGTGGCTGCATTAGGAAAGGTGGAGAACCACTCGACTAGAAGGCTTTCAGGTTTGAGAACTCTGCCCTTTTCTGCTTGGTTCTAACTTGCTAGACCAGCAAGACCACATCTTTTTTTTTTTTTTTTTTTTTGAGCAGTTGATTTTGTTGGTGTTTTCGTAGTGAGTTCCAGAGCTATACAGTGAGAACCTATCTCAAAGGATAAAAATTAAAAATAAATAAATTTTTTAAAAAATGGATTAGCTTACACTTTTACTGTTTTCAGCCGAGGGAAAGCCAGGCCTGAGGCCTAGAAGTCACAGCCAAGTACAAGCTGCTTCTGGGCTCTCTCAAGGGGGCACTGGCTGGTGGGTTGCCATTGGGTTGTTCTAGTACGATGAGTCTAGAGGCAGATGCGGTGGCACCTCCTTGCACTGTGTCAGAAGCCTTTATGCTCCAGCACTTTGGTCTGACCTTTGGATTGGATTGGTGACTACAGCAATGACTCCTCACCGTGCTCCTGCCCTGGCCCAGCCCTGGGCTTGGTGGCCAGCCCCCAGTGCACACTCATTCTTGCTTCATTAGCTGGCCGAGGCTGGTGTGATCCGAGAGCAGACTTGCCTTAGCACCCAGAGGAAGGGGCCTGGGAGTGAGGGCTCAGAGGCATTTCTCGTCATGGTCATGTCTCTGCTTTGAGGGCTTGCTGTGTTTCTGGAAGTGATGGCATCACAGAGCACACTCCCAGTTCTAGGGCTGAGGAAGGGAGACATACAACTGGAGAAGCCAGCCAAAGCTCAATTCGTGTGTGTGTGTGTGTGTATGTGTGTGTGTCTGTGTGAATATGAGTGTGTTTTCTCTTCTTTCTTTCTTTCCTTCCTTCCTTCCTTCCTTCCTTCCTTCCTTCCTTCCTTCCTCCCTTCTTCCTTCCTTCCTTCCTTCCTTCCTTCCTTCCTTCCTTCCTTCCTTCCTTCCTTCCTTCTTTTCTCCCCTCCCTTCTTCCTTCTTCTCTCCTTCCTTCTTTTCCTCCTCCCTCCCCTCTGCCTTCCTCTCCCTTTCCCCTCTCTTCTCCTTTTTCTTCTTTTCCCTCTCCCTATCCTTTCCTTCCTCTCTCCCCTCATCCCCACCCACCTCTTTCTCTCACAGTCTGACAGTGTAGCTTAGACCACTGTATCTGTTAGAATTCCCTATACAGTTCTGTCTGGTCTTGACCAGACAGCATCCTCCTGGCTCAAACAATCAGACTTCTCTTACAGGGGTGTGGCTTGATCTTTTGTGTTAGGGAGAGTGTGGGTTTCAAATCGCGTATCTGTCCCTAGCTGCCCCATGACCTGGAGAAGTCATGCAAAGTATCTGGGTCACAAGTTTGACAGTCTCCCTTGCAGGACAGTGCCTGGGAGGTTACAGGAAGGATTTTTGCAGTCCAAGCCTCTGAATGGCAGGCTCAAAATTCAGATAGTCCCAAGGCTAGACGACAAACAGACTTGGACTTGAACCCCAGACACATGCTTATTTACTTTGTGGCCTTCAACAGGTTGCAACACGTCTCCAAACCGCGTCTTCCTCACTATAAAATGGGCATGTGGTGATGAGGATGGCCACTGTTACACTCCCTCTTTGCTCTTTCCTCCTGAGCTCGCAGCTTGCCAGGTCTGAAGTGCTGGCTGTCTTCATTAACTTGAAAGGATGGCTGTGGCAGGGAGCAAAGCTCATTGGTCGCCACGACCCACTGGTCAGCCTTGCAGGCCTGCTGAGTGTAGCTGTACCTCAGGCATGTCTCGTGTAGCCACTAGCACCTTTCTTGTCTCAGAACATACCCCTCCTCTGGCAGAAGATGGGAGACTGGAGCCCAAACTCTCAGCTGGTGCCTGACTCACAAGCAGAGGCCTTGGGTAAACCCAGGCGAGTGGGTTCAGACTCATCACCACCTCAGGTTCTACTGAGGCAGAGAGGCCTGAGGTCAGAGGCTCTCAGTGTGGGGTATGCCACCACCTACCGCAGGATTAGCCTCCGTATCCATGAGGTGGGTAATAAGAACTCATAAAGTATTTTCCAAATAGTTAAAAAAGCATGATTCAATTCATGTTGCCTATCAGTAACAGATCAAAGCCCAGTGTTCAGTCTACCAAAACTGCCCAGTGATACCTGTCCATGAGCTTTAAGTTCCCGGTGCTTGGGATGCTGAGGCAGGGGGAATCTCTTGAGCTTTGAATCCATGTGTTCCTTTAAAAAAAATTTATTTATTTTTATTTATGTGAGCACACTGTAGCTGTGTTCAGACACACCAGAAGAAGGCATCGGATCCCATTACAGATGGTTATGAGCCACCATGTGGTTGCTGGGAATTGAACTCAGGACCTCTGGAAGAACAGTCAGTGCTTTTAACCACGGAGCCATCTCTCCAGCCCTGAATCCAGGTGTTCCTGACTATTTATTTATTTATTTATTTATTTTTGACAGGGTCCCTAGCCCAGGTTGAACCTAGTCCCAGATCCTTGTTTTGTTTTGTTTTGTTTGTTTTTTTTTAGATCTGTTCTTGATATGTAGCCGCAGCTGGCCATGAACTTGGGACAATCCTGCTGCATTAGCCTCTTAAGTGCTGGGATCACATGTGTGTGCCACTATGCCTTGCTTAAGCCCCAGAGTTTGAGACCAGCTTGGGGGTACGTGGCTAGGACCATTTTTTTAAAGAAATAAAATTAAAAATAAAGGAACAGGAGGGGGTAAGAAGGGAAGGGAAGAAGAGGGTAGGAGAGGGGAGGGAAGGGAGGAAGGAAGGAAGGAAGGAAGGAAGGAAGGAAGGAAAGAAGGAAGGAAGGAGTGATGGGTTGGACTTCTCGGGGTGGGATGGGGCCCTTGTCAGGAGGCAGAGCCTGTTCATCAGGGCTGAGTGCCATTTGAGCCTCTACATTTCCAGCTAGCTCTTGGGTGAGTCTGGTGCTGCTGCTAGCCTGGAGAAGAGTTGAAATGTGATACAGAGGCTGCATTTCAGTGGAGGGAAGTTAATTCTTGAAACTCAAGACTATCTGGGACACACCAGGAGAGGTAGAACATAAGGAGGAGCTGCTGTAATCAGCCACCCGAGCAGGATTGATGGCCTTCTCCAGGGTGGTCATCATCTCTGTCCTACAGATGGAATCAAAGACCTGGATGTTATCCACATATGATGTTGCATGTTGGTAGTTCCAGAGTCCATGAAGCTAAAGCAGGAGGATTTCTGTGACTTGGAGATCGTGAGTTCAAGGCCACTCTGGGAAAAACAACAGAAAAAAAAAAGGATTTGGATATTAAGTGATTTGTTACATAGGTAGGCTGGGGCAGGGATGTAGCTTTCCAAGACTGGCATCTTCCTATGCCCCACAAGGCAGTGGCAGGTGTCTGATCAGGAGGCAAGCCACCTCCTTAATCTGGACCTGGCTTTCCTACTTGCACAGTGGGAGGCCTGGGCATGCATGACCTCTAGGCTCCTTCCCCAGCCTTCTGCTGGAACAGTTTGTGCAGTCCCTGCTGGCTCAGCATGCCCTTGGCTTCGTCCCTACGCTGCTTCCTGAAGTGGTGCTGACGTCCTGGAGGCAGACATATCCCTTTCGTCCTGTCAAGCCAGAAACTAGCAGAGTTATTGGATAGGCTATTTGCCCAGCAGTGGGCAGAGCCTTGGAGGGGTGGCCATAGTAAAATCCAGCCCTTGGGCCAGGCAGAACATTCCTCCACACCCCAGAGGCAAGCTTTTCAGCGGCTCTGCAGGTAGAGAGAGCTGCTTGCGCTTGCGTCAGCTCCAAGCCATGTGGGATCTTATTTCACTGGGAGTCCAATCTGGGAGCCTTAACCTCACTAGGCCCAAGAGTTGGAGGGGATCCAGTTGACCTAAGAGAGGTGGCATTCTGAGTTGGGTTCCCAGGTACCTCAGGGCACACACAGCAGAGGTTAGAACCTGGCAAGATGTCTGAAGAGAAAATGCCTGGGGCTGAAATTTCTGGGCTAAAATTCCAGGTCTGACTCTCTTAATCAGCCTGACAGAAAAATAATCTCCCTATGCCTCAATCTCCATACCTGGAAAATGTGGCTCCTGCTAACCATTGTGTTAATAGGCTTGCAAAAGGACTTTAAAAGAGCACCTGGAATAAGTCACCCCCTAGATCAGATCTACCTTAGTAGGTGGCTTTTATAATCCCGACTCCCAGTGGCTGGAGTAGTATTTAAGACTCACCAAATACACAAGAATATTTGTATAATGATTGGTTTAGAAGCTCCTGGAGATATGATTCTCTCAAATTGTCCGTCTCCCCACCACTCTCTTTAGACATCGTCTTACCAGGCTGACCTCAGACTCACACTCTTTTCTCAGCCTCTAAGGTTCCCCGATGACAGATATGCAGCACTGTACTAAAATGTGTTTTTGTCATCTTGACACACACCGGAGTTACCTGGGAAGTGGAAACTCGGATTTGGGAATTGCTTCCATCAGGTTGGCCTGTGGGCACATCTCGGGAACATTTTCTTGACTGATGATTGGGAGGGCCCACTGGGGCCATTGCCATCCCAGGAAGGTGGTCCTGTGCTGTGTAAGGAAGTAAACTGGTCAGCCAGGGAAACAAGCCCCCAAGCGAATTTTCCTCCATGATTCCTGCCTCTGCTCCCCTCAGCGATGTTCTGTGACTGAGAGGTGTGAGCCAAATAAACCCCTTTCTCCTGCAATCACTTTAGTCATGGTGTTTGTCATAGCAACGTGGCAACAGGAACCTAACTAGAACAGCAACCATATCTAGCCTGGAGGGTTACTTTTCAAACTGTGTTCCAAGGATCATAGGGTGCCTGAAGCCACTGAGAAATGGGGTAGGTGGGAAGAAACACTTGCTAAAGGGAGAGGCAGCATCCTTATAGGTCTTTCCCTACCTGTAGACTCTTTGAACTTAAGGAATTACATTATTTTTGCATGTGGTGCTAGGCTCTCACACAGGCTGATTAGGTACTCTGCCACTGAGAATCATCCCCAGGGGTCACGATTTTAGTTTTTCTTTTGGAGTTGAGGATGAGATTCAGGGTTTTATGCACTCTCGGGGGTGGAGGAGGGGGGACGGACGGACAAGCTCCACCCTCACGCTGTACCACTAGCCTGCCTGTTTGATTTCTGTACCACTGAGGTACACCTACAGCCAGACTGTCTGATTTCCATATCATTGAAAGCTAGGAGAGATGAAGAGAATACCCTTGAACTTCTAATCTCCCTGCCTCCACCCCCTCAGTGCTGGAACTACGGCTATGTGTCACCATGTCTAATTTAAGCCACGCTGGGGGGAATCAAACCCAGGGCCTCATGCATGCTCCACGAGCAGCTTACCAACTGAGCTATATTCCAAATGCTGTTTTGCGTGATTTAAAAAGCTGTGTTTAGTCAGGGCTCTTTTCTATAAAGCGGACTCTTCCGGTGTGCAGATGGATGTGGTTTGACAGACTCCGCTAGCAAGCCCCACCACGCTCCTGTTTTCTTCCTCTTCCCCTCTCCCAGACGTTTCATTAGGGAGCGCAGACTGCTCTAGACTAGAGTCCACCTGCTGCAACCTCCCTCCTGCCAGGATGGCAGGCTTATCCACTTCCCTCGTCTTCATTCCTGAGAAGGACTGATTCTCTTAGATGGGTTGTCTACTTACTGTTCATTGCTTCAACGTTATACAGACATCTGGATGTTGTTCCCAAGTGGGAATTGTTATGAAGTTCCCCCCATTTTGTGTTCATGCTTTTGTGCTTCTCTGTGTCTCCTGGGTAAGTGCCTACAGATAGGGCTCCTGCCTCACATTTTTACTTGACAAGAAGGGACGGACTTGTCACTTGAGTACTGCCAACAGTAGAGTGGGAGAGCTCAGAACAGCTGCACGCTTGACAACACCGACTGCCATCAGAGTACCATACTTTCTTTTCATCCCTGGGCCTAACATACTTGAAAAAGAATCCCGTGGAGGATACCTGGATAGTTTAGTCTCCCACTTGCCACCAGTCCAAGAACAATACAGCTGTCCACCCAGATCTATACATTTATCCAGTATTAGGTTTAATAAGCAATCCAGACAGGATCAAAGTATCAGTAAGTGGTACCTAGACAGGTATATTCAAATGCTGCACTGTTTTATGCAGAAGCACTGGCAATTTGGGTAGTGGTGGGAAGGAGCTGAAGAGGTGGACCAGTCTCACCAAGACTGATTGGCTGGTATTTAGGGATCCAGTAGGTCAGCAGCATCAGCTCAATGTAGCCTCCTCTCCTCTTCCCTGGTGACTAATGAGGCTTAGCATCCATCCTTTCCAGGGTTCATCTACCGCGTGCATCTTTCCTCTGATAAAAAGTACTATGTCAATTTTTACATTGAGATGGTTGTGTTCTTATTGAATTTCTGAGTTCTTTCAATATTCCAGGCATAAGGTAGGTTTGCTCCCTCCCCTCCTCCCCATGTAATATCAATTTACATTGGCTCCTCCCACTCCGTGGTGGTGTGGAGGGTGCTGGAGTGCCAGGGTGACAGTTATGTGCCACTGTGGGACATAATAATGCCAATGTTAAAAAAGCGTCTCTTGAAGAGGTGAAGTTTTATATTTTTATGTAATAGTCAAAATGTTCAGTTTCCTCTCATTTTCTGTTTTAAGAATTTTTACCTAACCTAGTTATAAAATTTTATGCTTATTTTCTTCTAATTCTTAAATAGTTTTTTAAAACAATGTGTGTGTGTGTGTGTGTGTGTGTGTGTGTGTGTGTGTGTGTGTATGTCTGAGGCAGGGTAATCATAGTCCACATTGGCTCGTAACTCTCTTTGTGATTGGGCAAGGCTGGCCTAAATCCTTATATGCTGAGATTAAAGATAGACATTCAAAGGATCATGTAGTTTTCTGTTTGCTCTTTGGCTGCTCCTGCATGCATTCCAAGTTCTTTTTATACACGACGTGGAGCAAGCACAAGGGTTATTCTGACATCTGTGATCTAACCACAGCAGCACGATTCCCTTCTCAGAGACTGCGCTGTGCTGGCTAGGTCTATGTCAAATTGACACAAGCTAGAGTCATTTGGAAGAGGGAACTGCAACTGAGAAAATGTCTCCACCAGATTGGCTTGTGGTATGTCTGCCTGAGTGATAATTGATGTGAGGGATGGACTTTACCTGGGAAAGGAGAGTCAAATAATCCCCAAGTTGCTTCTTGGTGATGATTTTTTTCCTTTTTATTGAAAATATATATTTTTTCCTTACATAATAGATCCTGATTTAAATTTCCCCTTCTCTTCTCAGTTCCTCCCCACCTCCCCTCCAAATCTACCTCCTTTCTGTTTCTCAATAAAAACAAAAACAAAAAACCAAAAAAAATCCCCCCAAAACAAAAACAAAAAACACAGGCTTTGTAATGGGTAATAATAAAATAAAATGTAACACAATAAAACAAAAGCTAACACAGTGCAATTGAACCAAAAACAAACAGAAGGAAAAGGGTTCAAGACAAGGCACAAGAAACACAGACCTATTTGTTTGCACACTCAGGAACATCATAAAAAACACTAAAGTGGAAGCCATAATATATATGCATAGGACCTGGTGCAGAACCATGCAGGCCCTGCAGGCTGTGTGCATGCTGCCCCAGTCTTTGTGAGCGCATATCTATGTTGACCACATTGACTTAGACAGCCTTGTTATCTTGGTATCTTCCATCCCCTCTGCCTCTCACACTCTTTCTACCTCTTCTGCAGGGTTCCCTGATTCCTGAGGGAAAAGATTGGATGGAGACAGCCTATTTAGGGCTGAACATTCCAAGGTCTCTCACCCTTTGCATAGTGCCTGACTGTGAGTCTCTATATAGTTGTTCCTGTCTACCGGAGGGGGAAGCTTCCCTGATGATGGCTGAGCAAGGAATGCTTATGAGTATAGCAGAATGTCATTAGGAGTCATTTTATTGCCATTATGTATATGTATATGTATATGTATATGTATATGTATATGTATATGTATATGTATAATTTTTTCCTTTTAGAATACTATTTAGTTTTAGCCTAGGTCCCTGGGCTAGCTAATCTCAGGTTCTTTGTGGGTATGGGTTCTATCTCCTGGACTGGGGTTTAAGTCAGATCAGCTATTGGTTGGTTGCTCCTACAAGCTTCATGTCACCAATGCTCTAGCTTATCCTGCAGGCAGAACACCACTGTACACCAAAGGGTTTGTGGTTACCTTGGTGCTCTTTCAGTAGTGTGCCTTCCCATACTAACGACATAGGACATATTCTAATAGGACTCTATACCTGTCCTCTGTGGTTCTAAGGAATGTAGCTTGGCTATCATTGACTTAACAACTCCTATCCACATATAAGTGAATACATGCCATATTTGTCTTCCTGGATTCAATCCATTTACCTGTGAATTTTAATTTTTTTAATGGCTGAGTAATATTCCATTGTGTAAAAGTATACATTTTCTTTATTCATTCTTCTATTGAGGGGCATCTGGGTTGTTTTCAATGTCTGGCTATTATGAATGCAGCAACAATGAACGTGGTTGAGGAAGACTCTCTGTGGGAGGATGAAGTGACCTTTGGATATATGCCCAAGAGTGGTGTGGATGGATCTTGATGTACATGGATTCTCGTCTCCCTGAGGAACCGCCACACTGATTTCCACAGTGGCTGTACACGTTTTCCCTCCCACTCACAATGGATGGGTGTTCCCCTTATCCTCAATCCTCATCAGCTTGATCTATCACCTGTTTTATTGATCTTAGCTATGCTGTCAGGTGTGAGATGAAATCTCAACGTTGTTTTGATTTGCATTTCCTGATGGCTAAGGATGTTGAGCACTTCTTTAAGTGGTTCTCAGCTATTTGAGTTTCTTCTTTTGAGAATTCTCTATTTAGATCAGTACCCTAATTTATAATTGTTTTTTTCTTGATATCTAGTTTTAGAAGTTCTTTATACTAGATATTAGCCCTCTGTTGGATATGTAGTTGGTAAAAATAGTTTCCCATTTTGTAGGCTGCCGCTTTGTCCAAATGATGGTGTCTTTTGCTATATCGAATCTTTTCAGTTTCATGAGGTTCCATTTATTGCTAATCTTAGTGCCTGAGCTAATGGTGTTCTGTTCAGAAAGTTTTTTTTTTTTTGTGTATCAAAGAATTTAAGGGTGTCCCCCTCTTTCTCTTCTATGAGGTTCAGTTTTTATGTTGAGGTCTTTGATCCATTTGGAGGGTGATAGCATGAATCTATTTGGATTCTTCTAATGTAGCCATCCAGTTTGACCAGAACTATTTGTTAAAGATGCTGTATTTTTTCTTAATGTGTATATCTGGCTTCTTTATCAAAAAATTAGGTATCCATAGATGTTTGGATTTGTGTTTGGGTCTTGAAATCGATTCTATCAATCAACATTTCTGTTTTTGTGGTAATACCATGCTGTTTTTATTCCTATAACTCTGTAGTAAAATTTGAGGTAAGGAATGACAATTCCCCCTGTGTTTCTTTTATTATTTAGGATTGTTTTAGCTAGCGTGTGTGTGTTTCCATATGAAACTAAAAATTGTCCCTTCAAGATCTATGAAGATCT